TTGCCTGAGCTGGCAGGTTTGAGACCAGCCTGGGCAACATGGCAAAACCTTGTCTCTACAGTAAATCAAAAAATTAGCCGGGTGTGGTGGTGCACGTCTGTAGTTGCAGCTACTTGGAAGGTTGAGGCAGAAGGATCGCCAAGCTCAGTAGGTTGAGGCTGCAGTTACTGTGAGCGTACCACTGCACTCTAGCCTGGGTGACAGAGTGAGACTCCAACTCAAAAAAAAAAAGATGGATGTCCAGTACCTACCCACCCAAGACCTAATGAATCAGATCTCCAGACTAACTGCAGCGTTGACCTCATGGGTTCAGGTGATCCTTCCGCCTAAGTATCCAAGTAGCTGGAACTACAGGCGCTTGCTACCATACCCAGCTAATATTTTTCATTTTTTGAAAATGATCAGTCCAGGCTTATCTTGAATTCCTGGACTCAAGCAAGCTTCCCACCTCAGCCTCCCAAAGTCTGGGATTACAGGCACGAACCGCTGCACTCAGCTTAAAATCATCTTTTAAAGGACAAGAATACATTTCCTGTCCAAAACCTTTTTTCTGTGGGAATCAGCAAAAATGAAATGTGTAAGATGTCTGGTTCACCTGAGTTTTCTCCCTTGCTTGCCTGGCATTCGCAGCTGAGACAACCCACCCCTCGGCCTCACTATGGCTGACTTGCAGCAGATCCCAGCCTGAGCTGCAAGTCTCAGCGTGGGAGGGAGCAGTGGGTCACAGGCACTTTCTGAAAATGTATGATTTGGATAATTGTGACTATAAATCCACCCCCAAAATTACATACACATGAGGTAGGTTTTACTATCATCAACTTTTAGGTTAGAAAACAAGCCCAGAGAGTTGACCACTAGGACACAGTGGCTAGAATCAAACTCAGTTCTTCCAAATCCAGGACTCTTTCTATTCTTTCTACTAATTAATATTCTTATCATTTTATTTTGAAATAATTTTACTTATAGAAAAGTTCCAAAAAATAATACAGACTTTCCTCAATCCCTTTACCAGTATTCCCCACGTTAACGTTTTACCGTGTAATCACCCTTTCCTTCTCTCTCTCTCTCTTTCTCCCCTTGCACACATATGTGTTCAATTATTGGTTATGAATAATTGACAGCATATTGTAGACATACTTCCCCTTTATATCTCAATACTTCAGTGTATATTTTCTTAAAACTCAGATATTCTCTTCTATTACTGTGGAACAATGATTAGAAATCAGGAAATTTTAATTAATACAGTACTGTTATCTGTGCACAGACATTTACATTTTACCCACAAATGCCTTTAATAGTCAAAGAAAAAAAGTTGTTTTTGGTCCAGGATCTATCTAGGTCACATGTTGCATTTGGTTCTCAGGTCTTTGAGTGTCTTAGTCTTCAAAGTGTCCTCCCAATCATGCCCTGAGTCATTGTGTCTGCTGTCCTCTGATGAGCAGGAACAGCCCCAATCGTTTTGGTGCTCAGAGCCCCAAAGGGAGTTATCCAGACACACATGGCTTCATTACACACAGCAGGAGGGGTCACAACATCGTGAGAATATTCAGGAATCAATAACAATGATATTTATTATGCAGTATTTGCCATATGCTGGGCACTATTTTAAATAACTTCCATGAAATAACTCCTTGAATCTCCATCACAACCCTGTGAGTAGGTATTGTTGTATTCCAGATGTGGAATCTGAGAAACAGAGAAGTGAAGTAACTTGCTTAAGGTCATCTGGCCCGAAAATGGCAGAGCCAGAGTCAAAATCCCACAGCCAGGCCCGTTCCAGTGCGAGCTCTTAACCAGCATTGGTGGAACTGGAGACATTAAACAGAGTGATGAGCTCCAAAAACCTTAGTCCTGTCAGCTAGAAAGTAGAGCCTTCCCAAGGCCCAGCTCTTGCCCCCCAGTCATTTTAGAACTCTGCTTTTCATAGAAGGAGTGCGTCCCAGGTTCCACCTCTGCAGGACTGTGCCACAGCTCCTCCATTACTTGCAATGTAATAACCATAAATTCCTGTAACAAGCACTTAAGCCAAAAGACAGGCCCAATAATGACCACATCCCTCACTGTGGCTGGCTGGAACTGTGGGTTGCGATCACTCTGTGCCACCTCCACCCTGGTCTGGCTGGGGCCAACACAGAGGGGAAATGTGTTTCCTTGGAAAAGATGGCCCCTTATGGGCTGCCTGTGAAATTCCTGATTTTATGAAATCCAAGCTTTGTAAAGGCTTAGTGGTAAAGGCTGGAGATGGCATGTTACAGTTTTATTACAATATGGGCACTTCTTAGGGCATGGGTTTCATTTGCCACTAAATAAAATAACTGGATTCTGTCTTCAGCAAGAGTCAACACCTTATTAAGATACCTGATCCGTCAGAACAGTCTGATGCTGAAAGTCTTTCAAAGAAAAATACAGAATTAAAGGTGAACCAAGATACTTGCCTTGGTTCAGCCCTTTGTTTTACACGGGTAGGATGTGGGTGCTAATTGGAACCATCAGTTGGGAGAATAATGGGCTTATCTATTTCCCGGTCACCTGTCCCATTGCAGTGCCCAGAGGACTACAGATAACACATCTGGTTAGTGTTTGCCCCCTTTTAAGGAAGAAAGAGAGATGAATTTGAAACTCAATTAAAACTGTTTTTGAATGTTTCTCAGATGGTTTCCCTCTGTGTTCACAGGCCCTAGATTTCCAGGTAACCTCATCTGGTTCTCTTTCATGGGCCAAGTATCTACAGATATCAGAGTGTTACTAATCCTTTAAGAAGCCAGGAGGTTGAGCTATTATTGAGCTCTGAAAGAGTCTGGTAACTGAACTTTCGTCTCTGATCTCTGATAATGTTTTTAATTTGAAGTTGGAGCCATTCCCTCTGGTCATAGGCGCAGCCTATTACCTAAACAGGGCATGCCATTGTTCTAAAATAGATAGCGTTCAAATTAGATTTTGCCCAGACAGGTACAGAACCAAATATCTTGGCTGCTGTTAATGCTGCACTTTCAGGCAGAGTCCTAAATTGCAGTCAGCCATTTATCATCTCCATGATTTTTATCATATTTAAACATCACCTGAAATTGTATGTACTTTTTCTTTAAATCCATTCACTGCTATTCTTGAACATACTTATTTTACTGCCATAAGAGAAAAACTACTTAAACTACTTTACTTGTCCTTAACCAAAGATAATAAATACAACAAAAACATGTTATTGAATTCTTGTGCAGTAACGTTGCTTGCCAAAGGTTCTGAACCCAGGGCCTCTCTCCCTTTCTGTGAAAGGAAGATGAACTTGAAGACATACTAACACCAAACTGCAGTTTTCCTTCATGGAAAGTGACCGAATGAAAAGAGAATCTTGTTCCCTCTCTTCAGCAACTGTTTCCATGCTTTTGATTCCAAGTGGTATTCACCCTACCTTTGAGAAACACTGCTTTTGAAACACTCAATCCATCTGTATTCTGTGTGAGAAATGAAGTGTTTGATTGACTGGACTTGTGTGAAAACTCCTTTCTTGAACGTAAGAACATCCAAAGGGAGGCAGACGGCTCTAGCCCTATACCCAAGAAATATGTCATTCACTAAGGGTCAGAATAAGCTGATAATACAAAAAAAAAAAGGTATAGAAGCAAGAGTCAGAAGTATGCAGATGTCGAGATGCAATTCTGCCCGTCTGTTCACAGGTGGGTCTGTCCCTGGCTGTTGAAAGAGGCAGCCAGGAAGGATCTGCTGAGTCACAGAAAACAAACCACGTCCCCCAGGCTCCTAGGGGTGATGTGACAGGCAGACACACACAGTGGCTCAGAACAGAAGGCACACAGTATATATGAACACGTCTGTCTCATCAAGGTCGTGACTTAGACTTAGGCTCAAACATGCAACTGCCCTCCAGTTTGAATAAATGGTTCCCTTTCCCCAGACCTGAAGCCCCATTACCCTTGTCTACAAACATCACAAGTGTAAGACTCATATACACCCTACAAAGTGAGCTGATGTTTCAGCGAGACGGACTGTCTTGTTACCAGAATAACTGCATTTCTGTAAACATGGGCTACTTCTGGAGGTTCGTGGAGGCACGCTGTTTAGGATTGTGCTGTTTCCTTTGCAGCTGAGGAGGGCTCCTAAAAGCTTTAGTCAAGCAGTTATGCCATTTCCCCCCTTGCTATCGTTTGTTAAATGCAGTCGTTATTCCTCTGGCATTAATTTCTCATCACATGATTTGTTGCTGTAGAGAAAGCAAAGATGAGAGAAATGGACCAGCGGGCTCATAAATGTGGACAGTGGGTAGGACTGGAAGCTGCTCCTGGCATTTGAACTCACTGTGCTGTCACCAGGACATCCTGACGCAGCCCAGCTTCAGTGATTTACTGGAGCTCTAGCCCCAGGCTTTGTGAAAGGTGTCTATTTTCAGAAATATGATGCCGTGATTTTATTAATAGTTTGGGTATTCCCCGTGTTGGTTACATGATACTCAATCTTCAGCGTAATTTATACCTGAAAAATGCTTTTCAAAAAGATGATTTTTTGTGTTCTTTCACACTAAGGCTTATTTTTAAACATGGCTAAATAAATACATAGGCCAAACCCTGAACCAAAAAGCAAGGCAAGAACCTTTTTCACTTACTAGCCCTCAACCCTAGCGTCATTTTAACTGCTAACAATTTTTTCTTCTTCTAAGCAGACACACCTAGTGAAGCCCTAGCAGGAACCAGCATTTCACGTTTTCTAATCTGAGTGAAGTAGCACTGCAAGAGATTTCTAAAACAACTCTAAGCTGAAGCGTCGTCGGTTCTCTGCCTCTGATGCACTTGGTGTTTCTCTGAGAGGGTGTGCTTGGGTATTCCCATGTGCAGGGGTCTGAGCATGCCCTTGGCTGTTTCCATCTGAACTAAAGAAATCATGTGCTTGTCTTTCAGGTTCAATACTTCTTCAAGATCTTGGATAATTAGCAGTATAGAAAGTAAAGAAGTCAAGACCGGGGAATGTAGACAAGAGTGAATCATGCACATGAGGAATGTGTTCATTCTTTTATTGTCCATTGTTTTAACCTGACTGAATACAAGATCAACAAGAGCACTGTACTCCTGGCAATTATTACATATGTTAGAACATGGAGTTTGCACTGTAGACGACATTTAACACCAGTCTATGGGGTACTGCATTGCTTTTTATAAAGTTCAAAATAAAGATTTATTTTCAAACAAGTGACTTTGGTTTATTTCATACATTACACTTTTTCTTGCAGAAAAAAATAAAATTGTACAACTGCATAAATATAAAATTCTTCCACCATGAAAATGGTTAAAACATTCATAAAGACACAGCACCAGCATGTGATGCCTCCAGAGAAGGGAAAAAAGAAAAGGAAAAGAAAACGTACAAAGCAAATGAATTAGCCCCATCACTAGCCACAGTGCAGGGCAGATCTGGATCTCGGACACAGCTATAGAACATACTGGAGGACGAGGGAAGAGATGTCAAGACAGCATTCAGTACGAAGCACGACACAACCCGTCACCTTTGTGTGTTTTTCTGTAGTGTCACTTAAAATTTTAAGGGCAGTTCCCCCATGACAGCCCCCCGCCCCAGCCCCAGGAAAAAAAAAAAAAAAAGACCTAACACCACAGGAAAAGACTATGGAGTGTGTTAAAAATGCTCATCGGTGGGCCATTATCTTTGAAAGAGCCAAACCAAAAAAAAAAAAGTACCATGCCAGTTTTATTCCCATTGAATATTTACACCTTGGACAGCAAACCTTGCTCACATAAAGTAGAAAACAGATACGATAAAACATGGCTTGAGAAATGACCAGAATATGCACCTATAGTACTGTACACTAAAGAAATACACAAGGCAGCAATACTTAGGGGCCAGAAACACTGCTTACTACAAGTCAGTTATGGAATCATAATTTACAGTAAAAATGGGCACGTCCCAAGGCTCAATTTTTATTTTTCTTTTGTCATTTACAGTAGAATAAATATTTTGTTGCTATTGCTACACTTTAAATTTACATTCTAACCTATTAAATGCAGAAAGCTAGTGTAAAGCATATAGATTAAGTGTAGGTCCCATACGTATGACAGTTTGTTCAAGACTAGTAGGTTTTGTTTTTGTATCTTTTTTAACTTATTAAATGGCTAGTGGGAAATATTTGTGCTTGTGATCAGCTCTTAACTTCAATTTTTACATCAAAGCGTCCCTGAAAACGGTCTTTCTCACTGTACCCAATGTTCTCACCATACGCCTTACACTCGATGCGTATCTCCGTGTCCATGGTGAGGTTGGTGAACTGTACTGCCAGCAGGGGCTGCAGGTATTTGGGCTGCAGGAGTTTGCCATAATAGGGATAATACTGAAGAGGAAAGCCAGGGTAGTTGCCCAGTCCAAAATACTCCACGTTCCCAACTTTATCCTTGTCTTCCTCTCGCTGAAAACAGAATGAAGTGGTTTTAATGTTCACCTCACGGGTCATGACCTGAACTCACATACAAACAGACAGACAGACATACATACATATATACAGTTAGCCAAGCTGACTGCAAAGCCCAAATGACTGCAAGGGGAAAGCACACACCCTCAGTCTAAGCTACAGCAGCCCTGAGAAGTGGTCATACAAGGAAACTGACTATTCTCACTGTACAACTGGAGAAACTGAGGCAGAAGCTAAACAAGCATTTCTCCAAGCCAACACAGCCTCCGGGAAACAGTGCCAACATTGAAAGTCACAAACTCCTTGGTGCTGGCCCAGTGGGCAGCATTTCCAGTGAAGTATCTCCAAAGGTTTACTATCTGCCTCTCACTTCCTGTGTTGACTTCCTTTCTTGGTGATAGTGTAAAATGGCACTGCTTGGGGATTCCCTCCCCCCTTTTTATTTTTTAGTTAGGTCTCACTCTGCAGCCCACGCTGAAGTGCAGTGGCATGATCGTGACTCACTGCAGCCTCATCCTCCTGGGCTCAGGTGATCCAGCTCAGCCTCCCAAGTTGCTGGGACTACAAGCGTGTACCACTTTGCCCAGCTAATTTTTTAAAAAATTTTTTGTAGTGACAGGGTCTCACTATGTTGCCCATGCTGGTCTCAGACTCCTGGGCTCAACTGATCCTCCCTCCTTGGTCTCTCAAGTGTTAGGATTATAGGTGTGAGCCACCACACCTGGTCTTTTCTTTAGTCTGTCCTCTCTCTAAAATGTCTGTTAGTCTTTAGATCTAAGGGGAACATGTGCTGATTGTTAACTTAATCTTTCAATGTTTTTAAAAGAGAAGCCCAACCACAAATTTTTATGTGGCATTAATTTAAAAAAAAAAACATACAACGTTGGCCCCAAATTTGTAACATGTGCTGTGGGTCAGAGACAAGCACTTCTATGAGCCAATTCACCTCTCACTTCTATAAAGAAATATTCCAGTGGATTAAATTCAGATACTTGAGTTTCTTGTGCCAATGGAGAAATGAACCTCTAGTATTATTCTTACTAACATTTCTGTCCTTTTAACAAGTTTTACCTAGTTATAGCTACAGCTCAACTGACGGAGACTGATATCTGGAAGCAATGTTGTTTCCTATATTAAAGTTTCGCTCAACAATCTCACTCCGCGTCCTCTCTTCCCATGCCCCACCCTCTATGACCTTACCTTGCCAGTGCACTGAACAGGAAGAACATATGGGTTATACTTCATCACTGGGTAAGCCTCCAGGGACTCATTCTTGGGAGGCTAAAAATAAAACCCATGTTGATCAGCAGAGTATACACGATTATTCTTAATTTCTGAAAAAACTAATCTGTAGCCCAGTACACATTGGTCATGATAAGTCAACCAAAATAATAAAGCACATCAGGAGAGCAGAAATGATGACTCCCCTAACCAATTTAGGGAAGGTCATAGCTGTGATTTTGTTGAAATGAAAATAAGTGCCCAAGTTTTATAACCACTACTATTAGGCTGTGATACAACCCAGTAGTAAATGGAGCTCTTAATGGTACCTCCTTACAAACTTTGCTTAAGGACATTGAAAAGTAAGAGCTGACCCAGAAAACAATGCTCGTTATTCGCTAGGATTATATTACACGGGAAAGTTGACTGACAGTTTTGCTTTTATAAAACTTGGGCTTGCCTCCTGAGCCATGAATAAATAATGCCATCCTTTTCTCTCAAGAATGCCTTCTTCAAGTAGGCTCTCCTTTAAGAAAAAAAACTCCAGTGTGTTTGTGCATGGGAGGTAGGGGCATTGCCATTTAAGGAGTGTGCCTTTCCAATCCTGTAAGGAAAGTCCAATGTGTAAAACAGGTAAAGGTGGCACTGCCCTGAAGTAAGGGTTGTCCTGAAGGGGTGAACCCCAAGGACCCAAAGCACTACTTGAAGATTACAGCCGCAACACTCAGTGATCTATCACGAAAACAAAGAACAGAGTACCCTATGTTCTCACTCATAAGCAGACCTTGAACAATTTTCATAATATTATAAGAAAGGGATTGGCAGTAGTGGGAAACTGCCAAAGGAGGGATGGTGAGATTGGCAGTTGAGGGAAACTGCCAGGGGAGGGTCACACCTCATCAACAAGGGTACCTGCATAATCAACATTTGTATACCTAACCCTGAATTGTACCTCACATCTTTAAAATTAAAAAAAATTTTAAAAAGTAAACCTAACTTTGTCTTACGTGTAGTGTAATCTAGGTAAGTGCCTTCTGATACTCACGTGCTAGGGAAGAAAAAAAAATGACAGCTGCAGTGAAATACCGAGAGCCTTCCCTCCTGCATCCTTGGCTCAGACCTCCTTCAGGAGAAGTGTGATGGAAGACAGCCACCTACTTGCTCCCATCAGCACATGAGTCTGATAAAACACACACAGAGTCTGATAAAACAGGCCATTCTCTACCTCAGTCAGGAACTAACATTTTGGTGCTACTCTTTGGTTTGGAATACAAGAAGATGATTATCTAGACGTGACTCTTAGGAACTTTCTGACTATTCTCACTGTACAACTTTTTTTATTGATAAAAGAAGTTGCCACAATCAATCCCCAAAAGCTGAGGGAACAGGTGCACCAAAGGAGATGCAGGACACTGCGATCTCTGACAAAAACGATTCCAAAGGAGTGGCCGATTTGGATGGGGGTGATGACTTAGGAAGCAGCAAGGGGTAAGCAAGTGAGGACCAAAAGAGAGAGAAAAGGAAGAGGCGACACATTCATCACTCAGCAGAACGTCTCATAGGTGTGGCAGAGACAGACTGCTGCTGTGGGGAACAAACGTCACTCAATGTCTATGGTGAGGAGTATCGGCAGCACGGTACCCAAGAGAGCAGAGCTGAGGGTTAGTCGTTCAGCCCTGCACACCAACCCCTTTTGCTGCTAACTGGCCGACAGCTCTCAGTGAAATGTTCCCTAGCAATATGAATATCAAATACATTATGCCACAATGGTTTACACCACTTTTCTTCCATTATATTCTAGTCTAAGTGGAAAGAAGATGCAAACTCTGTTGAGAGGTACATCCATTTCCGCAGGAGATCCTGCAAGCCACCAGCCAGGCCCTGGCCATCCCACCCACTGACTCATTTTTGCCTCTAGTGACAATAAAGCTGCTCTGATGCATCCTTCAGTGACGTTAACACAACTTTTCATCTCTACGTTGATTTTCTTTTGAAAATATTATTCAAGAGTAACAAGCATGGCAAAACAAATGGATAGCATTCAGCAGAAAAGTAATGAACAGAAGAGCCAGATTTCAGAAATAAAATGAGTTTGCTCAAATAACTCACTATACTGCAGTCAATTCCTACTAGAATTACGACCTATGCTAATAAGGCTCCTATGGGTGATGGGAAGCCTGCTGGAAGAAGCCAGGCACAGGGAGAGGACAGCACTGTTTAATTCATGCAGTTCAACAAAAGCAGAGACAACACGAACAGACGTTTGTTTCTTTCAAAGAAGATCATCTTACCAAATGGTGAGCCATGACAACTTGCTGTTTTTCAGTGATCTCAAGCAATGATTATCCAGTGTAATTTAAAATAATAGAAAAGGCCAAAGTTTAGCCTAGACAGTGTTCAACTCCCATTTTTGCAGTGAACTCATTCAGAAAAAATAATTTTTTGGAAATACTCGTGGCTTCCTAGACTGCACATGTAGGTGGATATTTTTTTTAAAAATCATTTATTCAGTAAAAAATAATATATTGTGGGGGGAGTGGGGTCAGAGTCTCTCCTGCCCAGACTGGAGGGCAGTGGCACAATCAAGGCTCTCCGCAGCCTCAACCTTCTGGGCTTAGATGATCCTTCCACCTCATCCTCCCAAGTAGATGAGACTATAGGCACACGCCACCATGCATGGCTAGTTTTTGTGATATTTTTTAGAGATGAGGTCTTGCTCTTGTTGTTTCCCACAGGTTAGTCTTGAACATCCCAAACCAGTTCAAACAAGCAATCCTGCCTCAGCCGCCCAAAGTGTTGGAATTATAGGCATGAGCCACTGCATCCAGCCTCGGTATCTTTTTCTATTTTTGTTATCTGTATGCTGAGCAGAAATACTAACAACAGGGTCACAGGGCTCAACTTTAAGATTTGGCTTTGCCTCTCAGAATGTCTCTAATTCTAGAAAACAAGACCAATGCCCTAACTACCGGAATCTCAAGGTGGATACGGAAGATTCTGGTGCTACTCTACTGACTGGGCACTGAGTACGCTTTTAAAAACTTCCTTATACTGTATTCTCCTATCATTTAAGTACTTCATCACCCATCTCAACTCTACAACTGAAAACACCACTTGCCTTAGGTTTGAAGCCCAGAACTCGGTTGAGTTTTATGATGATACATGGTTTGCCCTCTCTGTAGCCATAGGTCTCATCATTTATTCCAGAGCAATTTCCCAACCACTCGAGCTTGAATCTGCAGACCTTCCGCTCTCCTTGTTCCTGGACCAAGTCTCCTCGGTCTTTGGGCTCGCTGGGCACATCTGAAAACACAAACACCACTTTTACATTGCCCTAGCCATTCTCCTAGCACTTCTGAGAAAGAACAAAGCAGCTTCTTCCTTGTCAGTTACCTGTTCTAGGATGGGGCCATTCTGCACTTGAGGCAGGGTCTGAATTAATTCCGGACCTCCAGCAAGCCCTCACCTCTCCACCAGCGTTCAAAGGTACCTCACAGCAACAGCTGGTGTCTGATACCACCCCAAAGCTTCATGGCACTCGATCACACACAATATCTGGTCTCTAACAATTATTTCTCTTCCTTTAAATAATGGATTGCTCGCTATTTAGAAGACTGAAAGGAAACCAGATCACTCACAATGGTCGACATCAGCTTAGCTCAGGGACAGGATGTTACAATCAGAACACAAATTAAAAGGATTGCCAATAATATTCAGAACTGAAAGTTTTTTTGGTCAAAATTTCCTGGAGCTGTAACCCTAGTTAGCATGTAAAACAGGAAAGAATTGGTATTTTCCTTTTCTATCACCATTCAAGTTTCTCAATTTTTTTTTTTTTTTTTTGAGTTGGAGTCTCACTCTGTCACCCAGACTGGAGTGCAGTGGTCGCTCCTGGGCACCGCAGCCTCGACCTGCTGGGCTCCAGCGATCCTTCTGCCTCAGCCTTCCAAGTAGCTGGAATTACAGGCGCGTGCTACCACGCCCGGCTAATTTTTTGATTTATTGTAGAGATGAGGTCTCGCCAAGTTGCCCAGGTGGGTTCTTGAACCCGCGGGCTCGGGCAATCCACTCACCTCAGCCTCCCAAGACACGGGATTACAAGCTGAGCCAAGCCTGGCTTCGATGTTTTTTTTAACTTGAGCTTTTGTGTTTTTAAAGTTGTGAGTTCTTTTTTTTTTTTTCGAGTTGGAGTCTCACTCTGTCACCCAGACTGGAGAGTGCAGTGGCACGCTCCCAGCCACCGCAGACTCGACCTGCTGGGCTCCGGCAATCCTACCAAGGAGCCAGAACTACAGGTGCACACTACCATGCTTGGCTAATTTTTTATTTATTGTAGAGACAAGGTCTTGCCAAGTTGCCTGGGTGGGTCTCAAACCTGCAGGCTCAGGCCAGGCTCGGTGGCTCGGCCTGTAATCACAGCACTCAGGGAGGCCGAGACAAGCTGTGAGTTTTTATAAGCATTTTCTCAGCAGAGAAATCTTACTCTTGCCTTTTTTTTTGGAGTTGGGGGTCTCATGCTGTCAGCCAGGCTGGAGTACAGTAGTAGCACAATCATCTCACTCAAGGAGAAGCTTCTGCCTCAGCCTCCCAAGTAGGAGAGAATACAGGCTCGCACTACTACATCTGGCTTATTTTTTAACTTTCTGAAGAGGTGATGTTGCCCAGGCTGGTCTTGAATGCCTGGGCTCAAGTGATCCTCCCTTCTCAAAGTGCTACAAGTCCAGGTGTGAGCTACCACACCCGGCCTCCTCGCTCATTCTTACCGCGTGCCTTATATAAAAGCCAGAGAAAGACTAAATGAAGACAGAATTCCAAGGTAATACACAGCATCCACAGGAAGATGGTGCAAATCCGTGATTTATACATTTTTAGGTTCACAAGTCAACTAATTTTCTTTCAAATGATCTTAATTTAATTCATCTCCTGTGAAGTGATTCACCTGGTTATCATCCAGGCCTTTTTAATTACTGCAAAGCAGAATGAAAACCTCACTTAGCTTCTAATTAGAAAAAAATCACAGTGAAAATTATTCTTTCTTAAATTACTAAACTTTTCCAAAATAACTTGAAATGGCGATTCACCCCGTACCCTGACCAAGCCACAGTCTGCCTTATACAGAATTGAAATTGGTAAGTGCTTGAATGACATCAGAAGGGCTGACAACACCTAGTAACTCAGAGAGCTTTTTTTAATGGCAGGAATGAGAACATGGACTGGGAAATTCAGAGCCCAGGCAGCAAGGGGAGGCCGGCATTCACGTCAATGCCCTGACACTGGAGCCTCTCCTTACCTTCCCAGTCACCTCCTCATTCACAGTTGATCAGCAGCTTAACATGTTTCCTTGTCAGTCCCAACCAGGAGCTCTAAGGGCAGGCTGACCACGAATCCTCCATCAGAATCAGTGCAGTGGTAGCACCCACACCGAAAGGTCACTCTGATGTGAGACGGTGGCATGCCTGTGGGGAGCACTTGTGGGGAGAGGCTGAGGAAATAAGCAGCTATACTTCTCAAAAGATGTAAAAGAAAGAAACTGTCACTGTGGTCATGGGGTCTGAAGAGCAAAAAGTAGAAGTGTCTATGGATATTTTAAAGAAAGACATCTTTCAAATGTGGAAAACAGTAACCCTTGAAGCTACATTGTGTTTCATTGCATCCCCCTGCTTAAAAAAAAAAAAAGTCTTGCTAATATGTCCCAGAGTTTAACATTAAATTATTTCAGGATACTCTCTCAATCATCAAATAAAAAACAGATATGGGAAATAAGAATCAAAGAAAAAGAAAATTCGCCACAACAAGCTACAATGAGTCTACTTACTGCCACAGTCTTCGAAAGTCATCTCATCCTTCTGAGCTGAATCTTTGTACTTTTCCAGGAACCTAACTATGTTGAGCACATACGCTTCATAGCTCTTAGGGTCATTCGGACGAAAGGCAATTTCAGTCTTTTGGATCTGAGGAATCTGTGTTAATCCTAAACCAGGCAGAGAGAAAAACACAGAGGAGTCGTTAGGGGGAAGTTGGTCAAACAACATGGTTCTAAAGCATACTTTCCATATGCAAAACAGAGTCTGTTAGCCCTGCCTGGCTAAAAAGAATGGGCCTTGGGTAACCCCTTTGGGTCCCCTCCCGCTGTGGGAGCTTTTCTGTCCTCTCAATAAATTCTGCTTTCAAAAAAAAAAAGAATGGCCTTGCCTCCCTGGAGAAATCACTCCTCAGGCATTTAGGTTAAGCAACCCCGAGCACCAGTGACGATGTCTTAACATCATATTTCATTTGATTTCCCTGGCAACACTTCATGATAGGCTTCATCTATAAAGGCACACACTGCTTGCACTGAAAGGTTAAGTACTTAGCCCAAGGTCGCAGAGGAAGTGGCAGAACCAGAATGCCAGTCCAGGTGTGTATATACTCCAAAGCTGGTTATTTTTCTAGTACCCCCATGCATACATTTTTAAAAAGGCCTGCTAGTTAGCACCATGTGCAGGTAGACTTCCCCGCCTTAACTGCAGGCAAGCCTTGGGCACAGAGGTCATTTACACTCCACGACCTAGTAGAGGTATTTCTTTGGATCTTTTAATGTAAACTGGAAGAATCTGGGACATACGTGAGTTATCACAACTGCTTTCCAATACAGAAGTCCGAGCAAGTCAGTGACAGTCAGGTAAAAGTGAATGTTTGTGTGCCTTGGGTTTGCATTCTCTAGTCCCTCAGATTCTGTATGTCCAAAAGCCTCTGCATTTACGGGACTTCCTAGGTGGGTATTTGAACGACACTACACAGCACTGTTCAGGGACAATGGGTGGAGAGTCAACCACAAGTGTGTTTTAGTCTAGAACTGCCAGATAAAAGAAAAGATGACCGGTTAAACATGAATTTCAGATAAACACTGAACAATTTCTTTAGCGTAAGTATGTCCCAAATGCTACGTGGGACATACTTACATTAAAATATTACCCGCTGTTTATCTTAAATTCAAACTTGGCTGGGCATCCTGTGTTTTTATTTGTTAAATCTGGCAACCGAATTCTAATCCCCACTCCCAGATCTGCCCTCTTTGTGTCAGGCCCAGAAGACGGCTCATGGGTATAACCCTCATGAGCTGCTCTGCCTCGGCCACCATCACCACCTCTGGCAGCTGGGAGACACCTACATCACTCTCAGTTAGGGGCCTGACGAACATCAGCCTCACAGCCACCACTCTTCACTTAAAAATAAACAAAAGTTACCACAATGAAATATTTTGAAAAAAGCTCACAAACTATAGAAAATTGTACTTGATCTAAAGCAATTTAAATATGCCCTGAACAATCGTTTTCTACATCGAATTAGAAAGCTGGCATTGTGGTAATTTATAGTGCAAAGATGTAATATGGTACAAATAATAGATACTTGCAAAAATAAAATAAACAAAGGTGAGTGGAAGCATCCACTGACATGCAATGCTTGAGCTAGAAAGGGTAAACAGAGCCGCCCAGTGAAACGGGGAAGGCAGGGGAAGGCAGGGCAGGGTCAGCCGTGAAGACATTTACATCAAGGTGACTTGCCTGGGCCTGGGGGAGGTGCACAGGTAGGCTCAGAGCCTCAACAGAACTCTGAAAAATGGGATGCTTTCATAAATAATCCTGGAGTCAGGAGAGAATGGGGCCTTGAGGAAGTCACAGGCCACTGGAAGAGCCTGCCTGGAGCCAGAGAGAGGCCTGTGATTTTCAGGCAGGAGGTTTGTAGAACCCTTTCCAGGTATTTTGTGGAGGAGGGGGGCAGAAATGGACTCAAGCACAGAGTGAAACAGTGTCTCTAGGCCTAGGGAAGACAGGGCCTGAGAGTGTGGATGGCCAGGAGGGGAAGAAGGTAAGGAGCTGCCTCATGCAGCCTTGGGAAGGGGGAGGGGCCGAGGAGCCACAGCCAGGGGACTGAAGGGACACCAGTGTGAAAAGGAGCACACTATGCAGGCTGTGGTCCCCCGAAGAGGGTGTGGGGCAAACATCAAAATGCTAACAAAAGGTAAAGGAGCCCACTGTGCGCTCTGGAGTGTCACCCCAGGAACTGTAAAGAGGAAAATGCCCAAGGAGGTCGTGCTGACAGCAAACGTGGTAGGAACTAGACTGCCAAGTGAGTGTCCCAATGGTCCTCTCCGTGGTTTGACTCTCTCTCTTCCTGTGGCCATGCAGGGTTCCGTTTCTTCGATGTGAGTATGAGGGATTGGGAGGCTCTTTCTCAGATACTCCCACTCCCGGAGGAGAAAAGGAGAAAAAGAAGGGGTAGCGACGTGATGCAGTGCGCTTTCCATTCCCTCCCGAGTCAACTCCATGGTCTCCACTGTTGAAAGTGGCCAGGGGACGCATGTCAGACCCCAAAGCTTTCACACCCCCACTCATTCCTCCGGACTCTTTAGTTACAACACTGCTGCTGCATTTTTCAGGAGTCTAGGGGCCACGGTCAAAACCAAGTTCACATTTACCCAGATGCCAATATCAGTCTTTCTTACTAGAATCTAGTGCCTCTGTTGTTACTCATCTGAGGTCTAACTTGTGGGAGCAACAGACATACCTGTTACCTACCACTGGCTCAGAAAAGTTACAGTTGGTCTACTGCCTTCTAGACTGGGCAAATAAGAAGTAACAAAAACCAAGACCTTCTGCCTGAAAGCCCGAATGCCTCAGTAAGCACAGTGTATGATCCATGCCTAGCCAAGTCTAATTACCACGTGAGAGAAATGCAGATTCAGGATGAAGAATCTTGACTTGGTTCTATGCAGAAAAACATCGGGAACTGAGGAAACCAAGAACACAAGGCGTAGATGGACAGCTAAGCACCAGGACTTAGAATCCTGTGACTGCACCAGCTGGGTTTTCCCCTGGGCCATTTTAAGTGACAGAGAACCTTGGCAGAGGAAGCTCTGCCATGCCTTATTTTCTCCTATGGGCTGACATTTCCCTCTGGGGTCTCTGAAGGGCCTCAGGAGGTAGGAAGCCTCTGTGGCCCTCCTTTTAAGATACCCAACTCCTGATGCAAGTGATTCCAGAAAAGAGGCACAAATGGTTTGGGCTAGGTCAGGCAGTCCGCTCCTCCGAACACCAGCCTAGGGAGCCCATGCAGACTCCCATTCTCACACACTCCAACGTCCAAGCCAGCCAGGCGGCCACTGCCTCCTCAGCAGCCCTCCTGCTCTTTCCTCCCATTGCTACAAGGTCCCTTGCTCTGACACCCACTACCCCTGTCTCCTCTCTTTTCTGTGCCCAGAGCCTGAGGGCCTGATCACTTCTGGAAACTAACACAGACCAGCCCCCGGGCCTGTTCTGTTCCGAAGTCTTAATTAGGTTGGTTTCCGATGAGGTCTTCTCCAAACCATTAGGAAAACTCCTCAAGTTATTTCTCTAAAGCAATCAGAGACTCACAAGAGGCAGCCGGGACAGCTTTGAAAGGATGACCAAACCCTTTCAGTCATTTGCCACACATTTATCAGACTACGTTCATTAGAGATAGAGAGCAATGGAATTGGATTTGGCAACTTCCGTATCACAAACTGCCCCAGCTTTTGATGTTTTGATGTTTTCTGATTTGGGGATGGATCTATCAGGGGTAGTAAACGCATTGACTTAAGATATATTCGATTTATGATGGGTTATTGGCAAGTACATCAAGGAGCATGTGTATTTTGAGTCCACACAGACTCCAAAGGCTGCACCAGTCCCACCTTGTGCTTTCACTCTAGACTGGATACTTCCTGCGTGTCCTTCTTCCCACTGCCCACTCTGGGAAGTCGTTAGCTGTAACTCTGGACAAGGATGAGCTCTGCAGTGGTATCTCCCAGAGGCTAGAGAACAGAACCCCGACCACTCATGTGTGGATTCAAATCATGCTCCTGGAGACAGATCTAACCTTCAGTCTCTCTCATATTCCGAACATGAATTTGGGTTAGCCATGCCCAGTTCTATTTAGCTCGTTCTGATAGGTCCATTTGCCTTAAGCTCTGTATTTGCAATATGTCATTATAATATAAATACATAAAATACCATTAATCAATAAAGCTACCTGAAAGAACTGAAATGAGTTCTTCTGAGTGAACTTTCAATATCTGCCTTGCAATGAGTACTTCAACTTTACATACGGAGTTTTTTTAAAAAACTCTTAGCTTCACACTTGCTTTTCAGAGATGCACTTGCCTTTCCTTGGTCTCCCATCTTTTGAGGAACGAAGAAGACCCCTCATCTTTGGTTCTAGTACGTGTGCAGAGCAAGAGGAAAAGGACTTTGCTTCCACTTGGGTTAATGTAGCACGTTTATAATTCCTCAATCGACCTGTGTGTTTGAACACACTAAACTAGAAAGCAGCCATTTTAACTTTGTGACAATTATTCAAATGCACAGCTGCTCCTACTTGTCATTTAATGCATCTGACGAATCACTATATCAAATAAACCAGAGGTCCCCAACCCCGGTCGTGGACCAGTTCCTGTCCATGCCTTGTTAGGTATAGAGCCACACAGCAGGAGGGGAGCAGAAGCAGGGGAGAGGAGCTCTGCCTTCTGTCAGAACAGCAGCAGCAGCGTTCGAATCTCAGAGAAGCGTGAACCCTTCTGTGAACTATGCATGCGAGGGTCTAGGTTGTGCGCTTCTGAGGAGGATCCAGTGCCTGGTGATCCTCCTTGCCCCCTCTCCTCCGCCCCCATTTATGGAAAAACTGTCTTCCACAAAACCAGCCCCTGATGCCAAAATGGTTGGGGACCGCTGCTCTACATAGGCATCATTTTCCACAGAAATCTCCAGGAGGGCACCCATATGACTAAGAAGGACACGGTAGGTTAAAAAATAAAATGCTTTTACACATAGCCATGCACACAATGTGTCCCCTATGATTCCAAGTTGAAAAGTAATTCCACATTTTCAAAAGCTGGGGGGTTTAGCTTTATACACACATTCATACATATGTATAACACCCATATGCATATATAAACATGTACATATATAGACA